CCTATTGTACTACCTAGAGGTCAGAGCTTTGCATCAATGGATTGCTGGAAGGTGGTAGCTCACAACAGAGATGATTAAAAATAGTTCAGAGACCCTCTGTTAGCTCTACTCCACTGACCACTACGTAAATGACTTGGCAGCTCACTTATGCAGGGGGAGACATCAAGGGTAAATGCCTTTTCCTGCCTGATTCAGACCAAGGGTCATTGATCTGAATTTGAACATTATCTTATGTCATTAGGCAATCTGAATGGAAGCATGGCCCTATTTTCTGCACCAGAGTTCTTTTTCTTACTGCAGTAAAGAATTGCTCTTTATTGCATCATTTTCCTTTTCAGTAAAGATGGGAAATAAGAATCTTCAGGAACAGTGATGACCTTTTGGTCTGAGACTGCTTTAGATCCAACTGACAGTGTAGCTAATGCCCCTTATACACACCACCTTTCTGATTTCTACCAGCATTTCAGCTATTCCAACAGAAATTCTCCTTCTGCCTTTCTGGAATTAGGTGTACACATACAGACACACACCTCCCAGCTGCCCAAACATACAGGTGAGTTACACTTACAGAGCTGGACTTGCAACCAAGCATGTTTTGGTCATCCAAAGTAACAAAAAACAGTAAGACAGCTCCTTCAACCCTAGTCCATGCTTCACAGGATCATAGAATCCTTCATACAGCTTCTAGTCAGATCTTCATCTGAGGTCTTTCTTCCTCTCTGTGCCTGGCTGGGTTCCATGTGGGAAGGCTTTTACCCTCTGCTGTCTTTCTGAAGTACTGATAGCAAGTCACTGTTGGGACTTGCCTGGCTGTGAAGGTGAGCATGTGGACTGACTCCAAAGTCCTTGAAGACAGGAGATTCTTGTGAAGTGTGCCCAGTTTAATGACTGTTTATCAAGTCTGATATGCCCTCTACAGTCCTGACATGCTACTTAGCATACAGCTAGTATGGGGTTTTATTGTACTTCCAGTGGCAGCCATAAAGAGACCCTCACATCCCTGCACAGGAAGGGGACATGGTCATGCCAATTATATGAAGGGAAAGGTGCTGAGGCGTTCTGTAACATACATTTTATTGCAAACTGCAAAAGTGATTCCCTTTGCATCTGTTAATAAAGGCAGACCCATCCGCAGTTTTCTTTCAATGTAGTCTGTCCCATGGATTAGCTGAGGTCCTGCATATGCCACCTCATGAACAAGTGATAGATGTTACACATAGTTGGGCCCTGAGGTTTGTTAGGACTCTGCCAGGAGCAGTCCATTCTGAAATCTAAACTACCCCAACTGCCATGCAGGAATCAGAAGTATGTTTCAGCAAGAACTGAAAAGGAAAAGCTCGGAGGCAGCATAAACAGAATCAGATTGTCCTTAGCTTAATGAAGGAAGGACAATAAAACATACAGAAAAGATGCCCAGTTTCAATCTAGGAGTTATTCAATTGTTCACATATGCAGATTAAATCAAAAAGTTTGGATAAAAGTAAATGATGGTAGAAGGAGGAGAGGATGGTTAAAAGGGATGCAGTGATTTTACCTAATATGCATGTTGTACAAAAAATAGCTGAACTTGCTTTGAACGTGACCTTCTGGTAAACCTGACAAATTTCACTCTAAGGCTGGAGATTCAGAAGGGAACAAATGGCTGCAGTCGACAGTGGAACAAAGAAGCAACTTTACAAAGAAGCAGTAGGGAAGGGCATGGATCCTCTGGGTAAGTGCACACTTCTCTTGCTCTACTGGTTCACCAAATTCTAACCCTAAAAGTTTGTGGTGCTGCCACATAGGTTCCTGCGAACACCCTCTGGCAACCAATGTGTGATAATCTTCTTCTACTCTATAGTAATCATATTATACAGTAGAAGTATATTATATATAATAGTAACAGATGATTTCTGCCATTATGAATTAGAACTAGATGGAAAAATGGAACAGAATTAAGTTGCTCTCTGAGGACTGAAAAACTGAATTCAAGGTCACAGTTTGAAATGAAAAGAAGTAAATAATCCTGCTTTGATGATTTTGGAAAGAAAAGGTTTCAATTAATTTATTTCTTCATCAACACTGGCTCTTTCGAGTCCCCTGAAAGTCTTTTATTCATTCAAAAGAATTTAAAACTTTGTATTCTTGCTTAAGCTTGGTAAATTTTTGTTTCCTTTTCTTGTCCATACAACTTTTGCTTGCTAATGGTTTTCACTAACTGATCATCAGCTTTAACCATTAACTCTTTCCAAGCCATTTTTTTCATTCTTAATGTTGTACAAAAGCATAAAATACATCGGTGGCCAGAGTTTCTATTAGATGCCTGGAATCTCAATTCTTCCTGGTGAACAGTTATAGGATGCTCAAGGCTGGAAATGACTTCTGGAGGCCACCTGATCCAATGCCTTGCTCAAAGAAGGGCCAGCTGAACTCAAACACCTCACTCACCTGATTTTTTGCATTTCACAAGGTGAGATTTCACAGCTACCCTGGGCCTCTGTTCCAATATCAGAACACCTTCATGGTGAAGGAGTTTTTCCTTAAAACCAGTCAGAACGTGTCCTCTACAGGCCTTTCACTGCCCATCCCCAACAATTACCTGGCTCCATATTCTCCATACCCTCCCACTCAGTGATTTAAGAGAGTCTAATGTCTTCTTAGCCTTCTCTTCCCAGGCTGAACAGTGTAGCTCCCTCAGCCACTGCTCTCCAGACAAGTGTTTCAGCCCCAGTCATCTTGGTGGTCCCTTGCAGTGTGCAATGGGGAGCCCAGCACAGGACACAGCATCGCAGATGTGGTCTCTCAAGAAAAATCCAGGCCCACCTCATCCACAGACAGATAACATTCCACTGGCATTTCACACAGCAGCAGGTGAAGGCATTCAGTACCTCCCAGGCTCAGCTTTTTACTTGCGCGTGCATCTGCTATGACAAGTGATGCTCAGATGCATGGCAGCAGCAGTTGTCAGCTTTCCAGTATTGTAGTTTTCTCAGTTTTAGGACTATCAGGCTGTCAGTGTCATGGGCTGTTGACCTAATAGGATTGTCAGGAGATGTCCCCACTGAATCCTTCCCAATTGTTGTGACTTCCGAACACGTTCTTCTTTGGCTTCAGGATGCTTAACTGAGTTGCAGAACACTTCCCCAAATAACAAGGGTAACAATGACAGTAACAACAGCAGCAGAAGGAAAGAAACAAGTCATGCAATCAGTCAGGGAGAAAATGAGGACACTGAGGGTGGGAATTGGGGGGTAGGATGCTGTAACTGACAGGAAAGTGGATAGAATTTGAAAAGGTTTTTTTTAGACTTATATACAAGAGGACTCAAGAATACACCCCTGGGGCTGCCTGTGTGCTCACCTTCCAATGGTGGCTTTACCATCAGTGCATAAGAGACAATGCTTTTTGAAAACTAAGACAGCACATACACAAGAGGACCATAGTTATAAGGCTAGGTAGGATCAGGCTAAAAGAAAGAGAGACACATATTTCTTAGACTATCCATGAGTTAGAACTAGATGATCTTAAGGTCCTTTCCAACCCTAACTATTCCATGATTCTATGATTGATTCCATGAGTGCTAAGTGGATTTAGTTGTAAGCCAACGTAATATAGGTACTGAAACAATGCAGACACAAATAGACTTGAGTAGGTAACTATAAGCCAGATTTCAGTTTCTTCAGAAGACTGTAACCTCTGTGTGGGACAGGTGGAAGTATGGGAATTTCTGAAAATGGAATTTGGGGTTTTTTTAAAGCCTTTTGCTTTCCAATTTTTAGCAGCTTGGCCCCTGCCTCAACAATGAAGGAAAAATGATGCTTTCAGAAGCTTTGCTTTCACACTGAGATTTATCTCCATCTAACAGCATGCTCTTGCTACGCATAAAGCCAGCAAACACCATGGTGATCACCATGGTCATCTGGAAGCAGGAGATCAGAGTTCTAACTGTGCTAGTGACTTGGCCTTAGACATTGAGTAAGTTACTTTATTTCTCTGAGCATGTTCTCTATTTTCTGTTATACTGTGTCAGCAACAGATATGTATTGGGTCCAAGCAGCAAAGCAGGTCTGGCTGTGATCTGTCTAGATTACTATAACATAGACGAACATAGAGGTTCTGGAGCTGCTCTGAGCTTGGTACTGCCGTGGTTTACTTCCATACTTCAGTGTTTCTCATGATGGAGAGGTTTCAGCTACACACAAGCACTGAACTTTCCTTCTTCGCCCATTAGACCTTGGTCTTCCAGCAGGGCCTTTCCCTGGCTGTTAAGGTAAAACCTCTCCACTAGCTGCAAATAATTCTTAGTTTTTCACTGTCCATTTATACATTGGTCAGTGTTCAGTGGGTTTCTTGACATTTTAGCAGGGCAGATGAAATTTCAATCATCTGACCCATGTTTGTGCTCCCAAGTCCCACCTATCTCTTTGGTTACATCTTGAGTAATGAAATAAAGAGGACCAGAACAGCACAGGACTTGGGCTCCAGCGCTGTCTGTAGCACATACTTTCACTTCTCTGAATAGCATCCTGCACTTCTGTAGACAGTGGTCAGGCTAATCCAGGGAATACAATTCTCTGGAGGCAGTTTGGATGTGGACTTGTTTTTTGGAAAAGAGAATTTAGCTACATATACATCATCTACAGTGTGCAACCTTTCCCCGAAACCACCTTGTTAATAAAGATATAGCCTTCCATATTTCACCTGGCTTGAAATGTATCTTTAAAGCAGTTGCCAATATGCCCCATTCTAGGAATGCTACTGACTGATTTTGACAGCCATAAAAGCTCTCCCCATGAAGGAAAAGAGGGCTTCTTAGCACTTTTATCTGGGAGACAAAGCCATCTTCAAGAATGACTTGTAAATCTATATTGCACAAGACACAAATGACCAGTGCACTTTCCATAGACATTTTGCTCTCACGTCCTTTAAGCATGTCTGAACAAAACCTTTCATCTTTCTATGAGATCTGTCCTGTCATAAAATGTCACAGAAAGAACTTTAAGATCTTGAAAGGAAAGCAGTATGCAAAGTAAAAATATAATTATTGCTTATAATTATAAGCATGTAGATTTTCATTTAAATTCCTGGGGCTTTCATAAGAAAAGGTGGTGGGAGGGAGGATTGGCACGGAACATAGTACAGGAAAGATATGAATCATAGAATCCCAGGTTGGAAGGGACCTGAAGGATCATCTGGCCCAACCTTTCTAGGCAAAGCATGACCTCCCAGCACCCCATCCAGGTGCATCTTAGAAGCGTCCAACATTCCAGAATCCACCACTTCCCTGTGGAGATTATTCCAATGGCTCATGGCTCTCATTGTGGAAAATTTCCCTCATGTCCAATCAGCATCTCACCAGGAGTAACTTGTGCCTGTTACCCCTTATCTTTTCCATGTGACTCCTTGTAAAAGAGAGTCTTCATCTTTGTAGTCACCATTTAGATACTGGAACATGGGAATAAGATCTCCTCTGAGCCTTCTTTTATCAAGGTTGAACAAACTCAGCCCTCTCAGACTTTCCTAACATGCCTACCCAGTCCTTGGATCACGTTTGTGGCTGACTTTGCATCCAACCTTCTCCACCAAGTTTCACTGTTTTGCTTACAGAGGCAAAAGGGAAGATCCTGGCCTAGAGAATCAAACATCAACAGCAAAGCCCATTTACTAGAGAGGGAATTTCCTTTTTGTTTTTCACTTTCTCTCCATACTTTTTTCTTACTAAAACTTCAGACAATAAAAGCACAATAAATACAGAACCACATTAATAATACTCCTCCATCTCAGAAAATTATGTTCTTCAAGCAATTTTGGATTCCCACCTGTCTTTATGATGATATACTGAATGGCTGGTTTGGCTGAATCTATCGTACAAGCTATTAAAAAGCCCACAAATCCAAATCACATCTTAAAATATGCATTTACCCCAGGAACTTCAAAAAGACTAAGGGGAAAAAATCTCTTCTTCTTTCTCTTAATCTATCTCAAAGTCTTTACTGACATGCATTTTCTTTTCTCCACTGACTTTACTGACAGGCAATTTTGACAGGTTCTCTTTTTTACCAGCTTTCAATATTTCATGACAGTTGTCAAGCCAGCACTGACACAGTGATAGGATTTGATATGACCACCAATACTTTAAAGTAAACTTTCTTTTGGAACTGATAGCTGTTATCATTTTAAACAGATACGCAGTCCTGATGTATTATACATTCTGTGTGTAGGAGCTGAACATGATGCTAGGTCACTGAAACCTTTGTTTTGTGGTTTGGACTTTTCCTCAAGAAAGCAATTGTCCTTTTCATTTTTTCCTATGTATTTACTTATGTATTTCCCCAGTGCTACTATAGTAATACACATCATAGAACAGCTTGGGTTGGAAAGGAGCTTAAAGATCACCTAGTTCCAAATCCCAGCCATGGTCAGGTGAGGTGACAAAGAAAGATTTCCACAGTAGCTGGGCCTCAGGGCAGACAAGGTAGAAGCTATCATCTGTGAAGTGCAGTGTCTTATAGCTCCTAGCCCTCATGGCCTGGTGTCCTCATGGCACACAAGATCTGGGAACTCCCAATGGCAAAACACTGCAGACCCTGTCTGAGAGGTCAGATCACCCCGTACTGGCCAAGTTTCCATTGCCTCATTTAATGTTCCTTTTCAGACAGAAAACCACATTCTGCCACTCACCCATGGGAAGTTTGCTTACTCCCCTACATAGCCTCATTTTATAAATGAAAACTTGGTATTTAAGAGAGATGCATCTGCCCAAAGTCAAAAAGAAAGTCCGTGACAGAACAAAGAACCAAAACAAAGACCTTCAAGACATCCTTTAGGGACACAGGTAAGACATGGGATCTCCAAGGACAGGGCAGTCCTGTGACATCCCTCTTACAACTCCTATAGCAGTAGAGTGCCGTGACCACTTCCCTGGTGAGCCTGTTCCAGCGACCCACCACTCTCTCAGTGAAGAACCTTTTCCTCATGTCCCATCTGAACTTTCCCATCACAGCTTCATTCTGTTTCCTCGTGTCCCATCCCTGCTCACCAGAGAGAGGAGATTAACACCTCCCTCTCATGCCCCCCTTGAGGAAGGTGTAGACTGCAATGAGGCCACCCCTCAGCCTTCTCTTCTCCAAGCTCAACAGTCCAAGTGACCTCAACTGATCCACCTGTGTTCTGCCCTCAAGTCCTTTCACTGTCTTGGTGACCCTCCTCTGGACACCCTCTAATAGTGTGATGTCCTTATCCTGAAGCACCCACACTGCAGATAATACTTGAGGTGTGGTGTCTGTCTTGTACTATGAAACACATTTTCTGCAGTCAGACCATGGGCTGATGAACATTCCTAGTGGTAACAGGATTATTTGATGCAGTATGTCTGACACTCTGACACTACAGTTCTGCATTGTCCATGCCAGCAGACAAACAACTTTTGCACATCTGATTCAAAACGCTAACATTTAAAACCAGCATCCTGCGATCTAATTCTCCCCTTACACTCAGTGATGTACAGAGCAAATTCTTTTGCTTTCTTCCACTAGACTAATATACATCAGGGTGTACTAAAAGGCTACTAACAAATAGCTCTTGCCACCTTTGCATAGGTCTTAAAATACTTTGTTCATATTTTTTAAGGTGCTCTAGCACATCAGCTCCAGCAAACAAGATTTTCAACTTGGAAAACAGTGGCCTCTGGAGAAAACATTGTCTTTTAAGAAAGTAAAAAGCTGTTTCCAGCAAGCCATTATTACCTTGTTCCTACTGAATGCAACATTAGGGAGCTGTCTGAATATTAGCTCTACAGTTACTCATAATAACTGGATTTCATTTAAGACTCTTACACAGCAGACTTGACAATAACCATGCTATTACTGCACATCAACACATCTCTACAGCAATACCTTCTGTTTGGGTACCAGAGCTCCTCCTCTTGTTTAATGCATCCTATCTCAGATTGCTTTCATAAAATAAGGAAAATGCAATTATGCCCATTTTTTATGTAGAAGGTGAACACAGAAACACTGCAATGACTTACATGCAAAGTCTGTGCCACAGATAATGAAGTACACACCAGAATCTAAACTACAGCATTACTGTAATTCCCTTCCCTCTTCCATTAAACTACATTTGCTTAAGCCAGTGTAGCAGCAGATCCCCTATGCACAAGAGTAGTGTTGCATTAAAGCCGTTCCCTCTTTGCTAGTCACAGACTAACAGAGAAAGTGGAATGGCAGGCAGCTTATCATTGGACCCAGACAGGTATGAATCACTTGAGCTACCTTGAGCAATCTGTACTATAGATATCTGCTATGTCTGATCATGACAGTGCCATTTGAGATATCCTGGATATCCCCTCTGGCTTCTCGCAGCTGGTCTTGAAGGTTGTCAGCCCATGAAAGTACTGTCTCATTTCAGATGTCCTTCAGACACCTGAAGCCATCTCAGGTGGCACTAAAAGCCTGTTCATAAGGAACTGAATCAAGCTCTATCTTGAATCCAGCCAGCCTCATCGAGTTCAGTTGGTGCAGAGTCATACAAGGAAACAATGACCGTCTTTCACATTTAGCTAGTCCTCTCTTTTAAAGCCATATTCACTGCCCTCTCTTTGCATGGTCAGAAATTTTGTACTACAGTAATCTTTTAATGGTCCTCCTTCCATGGGTATAAAACTGTAATCCCCAGCAACCAAAAAAACAAAATAATTTCTATGATTTTATGAGGTGCCTCTTTGGAGGAGGTCAGGAGAAGAGGCTCTCAAGTTTATTATTAGCAACTGGAAATTTTCAGCTACTTTAGTACTTTTTGCAGTTCTTAAGTTTAAGGCACCTGCTTAGGGAGGGAGGTAGTTGTATGAATTATAACCTCACTTTAAGCTTAAGTACACAATGTGAATCACTTGATTGATGGCCCATTTGATCAGCTGTGCAGTCAGGGTCCTTCCTCTGCTGAAAACTTGATTACATGGCCATACCACAGCAGATACTACAGCATTCTAGGTTGGCAGGAGGATTCAGGGTCAGTAGCTGTACTATAATGCAGCTGGCACTCTGCCTATCTATCCCCCTCCCTCTGCCTTTCACTGTTCATGTAAGAGATCCAGGTCTGGGGTCTTTCTGTCCTCCATCCTTTTGCTCTTGAATTAAGCAAGGCCTTTAACATGGTCTCCCCGTAGTGTTCTTATAGCCAAATGGATATGCTATGGGCTAGGTAAGGGATGCAGATGAAACAGCCCAAAACAGTGATGATCCCTGCTGCAAAGTCCAACTGTCAACCAGTTACTACCGGCTTTCCTCAGGGATCAGGATGGTTAGGTTATCTATTCAGAATCTAATCACTGTACCCCATTCCTATCCTATCTTATTCAATATATAAATAACTCTCCTTGAAGGACTGGAATTTCTGTTTAGCAACAGATCTCCAACTCGGACTTGACATCACAGCATCTTAAAAATGACAACTTTAAGCTCTATGTCTTGAGCAACAAGATCTAAAACTTGACGTCCTTCCACTGCTCTCAGTTTATATCAGCTTCAGGGCTTCTTTAGACTTCTTTTGATCTATTTACCAGAGCTATCCAACGCATTTTGGACTGTCTCTGCATTTGTTTCATTTTGCTTTTTACTTTCATCTTTAGAGCATCAAGGACGTTGTTTCCACATTTATTCTTGACATATACCCAAACTATTAGAGACATCACTCTATAACACCATTATGTCTTATCCTAGTGTTTTCCTTATTCTGTCTTCTCTGCAGTCTTGAAATTCTCTGCATACCTTCAGCCAACTCGTTTTTAAGTCAGTCTGTTTTATCATCAAGTTTTGCTGTTCTCCACCACTGCTATCCGTATACCAATGTAATGTGCTCATTAGTTCATATATGCTGATTTCATGGTTATTCCTGCACATACAGTGAAGCAATATTCAGGAAAGAACAGAAATCACTCGATGCAGTAGATTTAGGGGTGGATGAGGTTCAAAATACTGTGGGAGGTTAGTTATCAAGAACAACCACCTGGGAGCAAGAACCTAGAGCAAAGGATGCTTTCATATTTTATACAGGAAAAATGTACCATGAAAATGAATAGTTTGCAAACCACATCACATCCCTCCCCGTCTTCATTTCCCACCAGTGATTCTTCCCCTCCCTTTGACAGCAAAGATGTTCTCTACTTTAATGGTCCCTGTCTGGCAAAATTACTCCTGAACTGGGTAGAGCTCCTCAAATTCAACAGGGGACTGGAGTTTGTCACTACCATATTCCCTTTCTCTGCTCTTCCAACACAGACAGGGACAGACCATATCTACAGACAGAGACTGGGTACCTGACCACCAGGCTAAGATGTGTTTCATTGATGGATCTCCCAATCACTGATATTTGTTTTGGTGTTTAAGCTTGATATTATGTAAACCAAATATTATATGAACATTGTTATTTCTATACAATATATCTATAATATACACAGTACATTATATGCAATTTGTTATGAGTGCCTCAGATACAGTGTTCTATGTCTATGATGTGTGTTACATGAAATTCATAGCGATTTATATGCAGACACTACAGAAAGTGTTTTTTATAGTTATCCATAAATGTGTTTATGAAGTTGGTTATTACATAAACCCACCAGCAACAGCTTCTTGAGGAACCCAGTTCTGTCACAGTATGTTAGGGAAGATCTGGAACACTGTACAGAGCTCCTCGGGAGACATCAGTCTTGTGCTTCCTGACTGCATTTAGACAAGAGGTAGGGGCTCAGAGGTGGCTGCTCTGGGCCTGAGGAGATTTGAAGAGGCAGAGTTCAAATGTCAGCAGCCTTCAACGGTGCCTGAAAAAGAGTTGTGGGAGCATGATTTTGGAGCTAGACACATCAGTCTCACTTAAGACTTTGCACTACTTGTCTGCATTTTGTCTGCATCCATGCTCAGATCCAGCCCCCCAGGCTGGGAAGCTGATGGATAGCTTTATTCCTGAATCTTTCACTGATACACTATTTCCAGGTTTGGTCCCATGGTTTCTTTACAGGCTGCACTTTCCCAGCCACTCCAGTATTACTGAATAGGCATGTTCTGAGTCAAAGCTCAGCCAGCAGTTGCCTGATGCCACTGGATGAAGTATCTATCTCCAGAAATAAAGTTTTATTGCTTCATCCCAAGCCTCTTTGTAATCACTGGAATTTATCCCATTTGCTAATGCAGAACAGGGAGGGATGAGTAACAGGAAAACACTTAATATAATAGATTATTGTTCCTTGGGGCAATTTGTCACAAACAGTTGGGAAGGTTGTGATCCACATTCACTCCTGTGAGATCACAGCATGCGAGGGGACGAGAGGCAGCAATTTCTGGCATGAGGAGCAGGGAAAGGGTACAAAGAGCAGGATAAGCAGTTCTCAGAAGCTCTTTGGAAAAATATAAACAATCTGGTAAGAGGGAGGAGGTGTGGGAGCTGAGCAGAAGCAAATTAAAAGGATAATTAGAAGAGGGGAGAAAAAAAAGGAGTTGCTGAGTACATTTTATCTGGTGAAGCCAGGGATTTCAGATGTATTCACAGCAGACAGATGGTAAAAGAAGGGGGGAAAAAACACCAACCAACAGCACACCCTATAATCAGTTCCTTAGCATGGATATTAGGGGAATTTAGTTAAGGATAGGGAATAAGGACTTGGCAGCCTTAATACACAATTATTTCGCTATGTATCTTTGCAACAGTGGGAGAGGGATCAGAGCAACCAGAGGCAAAAGCCACAGCTCTGGTTTGCTGTGGGGTGTGAGCTGGAGCAGTCTAATCCTCACCATCCACCTAGACTGGTATTTTAATTGTAGATTTCTCATTTCCCTTTGTTAGTGGTTGGGACTCCCTTTTTTCTTGGACACAAATGTCTCTGGGTTTAATGCCTGGAAGTTTAATTAATGAACATATGATTTATAGAATCATACATGGTTTGGGTTGGAAAGGACCTTAAGATCATCTGGTTCTAACTCCCCTGCCGTTGGTAGGGATGCCTCACACTACACCCTGTCACACAAGTCTCTGTCCTTTTGTCATATCAATACATCTATGTCTATGATGTATGTTACATGAAAGTCATAGCAATTTATATGCTATGGCAGAACACTGAAAAATAAGCCAAATGTCCCATATCCCCATTCTCTGATAACATCAAATAACGGAAGCTGCAATAAGCAAAACAGGAAAGAAGTAAAACCATCTCCCCAGCATGCTGAAGAAAGTACATCTCCCCAGTGCAACAGGGTAAAGGACCTGTATTTACAAGCAGCTCTGACTGTACTACACCTTCATGTCATGCAGCAGAGACCAATGCAGTGAATTTCTTTGGCTCAGCACCACAAATGCTGTTGACTTACTTTGGATGCATAAATGGCCCATACAAACCAGCCTGGAGATCTCTACACAGTACAGTCCAGAGCCTTGATCAACATCTTAACCCTCTGAGGCTAGGTGGGATGTCAATTTCATGGAATCATGGAACGGTTTAGGTTGGAAAGGACCTTATGAACATACAGGTCCAACCCCGTGCCATGGGCAGGGACACCTCACACAATTTGGGTTCCTTTTCTTTTGTAGTGGCTGAACAGAGATACTTCATATACTATCAGCTTTCCTGAGGTAGGTACTTCAAGAGGTAACTCAGTTTCATCTAGACCTGTCTGGTCTAAAACTGGGCTCAACCAAGATGAAGAGTCCTCCTGCAGGAAGATAACCTGAAAATATGAAACATCTCATTAAAAAATCCAGTTTCCTCCAAAATTACAAGCAGAAATCCCACTGATTCAATTAAAAGAAGACTCACAGTGTTTATAGCCCCCAAACCTGCTAATACATAAGGACATCTGACTCATGAGGACAGTGACCAAAGGCAAGCTGTTCACACACTTTCTTACTCACGGAATCATGACAATGGAAAGATAAAACCAAACTGATTTTAAATATAAAAGGATTCTTACGGAAGGCTAAAATTTTGGATAATTTTGTGGATTCTAAAAATACTGAATATTTTCATTGCCTTGCTAACTGGGGAGTTTTATGACAGAGGTATCGCTCAAAGGAGTAAAGGGTTTGGGACTTTTAACATTTCTTTTAAAAGTGAAATGGAAATTAAATAGGAATGAAAGAAAAAAACAAACACAAAAGCACCACCAGAACCTTTGTGATTCCTCAGGGTGATCTCTCTTACAAAGATTTGATTTTTACATGTTGTAATATGCACATTATCATAGAATCATAGAATGTTTGGGTTCGAAAAGACCTTAAGCTCATCCAGTTCCAACGCCCTGCCATGGGCAGTGACGCCTCACACTAGACTATGTCACGCAAGGCTCTGTCCAGCCTGGGCTTGAACACTGCCAGGGATGGAGCATTTACCACTTCTTTGGGCAACCCATTCCAGTGCCTCACCACCCTCACAGTAAAGAACTTCTTCCTTATACCTAACCTGAGCTTCCCCTGTTTAAGTTTAAACCCATCACTCTTTGTCCTGTCACTACAGTCGCTGATGAAGCCCCTCTCAAGCATCCTTGTAGCCCCCCCTTCCAATAGTGGAAGGCTGGTTGGAATCACACTGTGTTTTGAGTGGATTGGTTCGTTGCTGCTGAAGTACTGCAATCTTTATTAAAAAAAATTAGGATTTTCCTAGATGTGTATGTCCCATCTGGATGTGAGATCAGGAGGGAATTATCCATCCTAACCATAGATCTCCCATATTTCCCCTCACTCCATGCTGCTCATAAGCTGTGAGTCTCTGGACATGGTCATGGCTACAAGACCCCAACTCCCGGAGAGGGCTGCAACCTTCCCTGCCCTGGCCAGGGGGCAAGTAGAGACGAGGTAGACTCACCTTCTCCATGGTCTTTGGAGACAAAGTCCATGCTGTGCAACAGCTTTCCCAGAAAATCTCAGAGGAGCTCCCAGCCTCCCTGCTCCCTCCAGGCCACCAGCACCAGTCATACAATGAACTGCATTAGACTCCATTATGGGAAGCTTCCTGCAACAGATCTGATGTATTTTTCCAGCAGCCTCCTCTTCTCCCAGCTGCTGGATGCCTCAAATCCCT